AATGTTATGGGATTAATTAAATACTTTCTGATTAGATTTAAGGACCGTTTCATGAGATGGAATGCATGCCTGACCCTGCTAAAATTTCAAGGACCTGAGACTAGATAGGTCATGGATAGGATAGGAAAGTCTATGCTATTATTCTGCCAAAGGGGCATAGCATTAAAATGACTCCTCACCACACTCTGCCATATCCATAGATATCAATCCGCACCAGAGAATCTTTTTTTAAAATTGTAATTTTTTTATTGGAAAACAAATATATAACTTGGAATGGATTTGAGGCAAGTTGTGCCATAAGCAGATTTTAAGTGGCTAAACAAAGTTTAAAAAGCAAGTAACAATAAAAAAAGTGTTTCTGGTACAATACCAGTAGTACAAAAAAAATAGTGTACAAGTACCCATTTTGCAATAGTGCAACTTTGAAGTACATATTGTTGACTGTCCACAGTCCAAGCAGAGTTACAACTTCACACTTCAACAATAACATGACAGTTCCTAAAAACTACTTTAGAAAGGCATAACCCAGATGTTCCCTCATTTGACCAACTCCATTTAAATTTAGACGTGCAGAAGGGCTTAGATATATCCAGAGTAAGTCACATGCAACATGTTACTTGTATATTTAGAAAACTAATTAACGTGATTACAAGCTTGATTATAATAGATGACTATTAACCTGTATTTCTTAATTATGCATTACATTTTAAATGAGCTGCACAAACACAATACCTTAATCAAGAACAGAAATATACATGTAACAAAGTTGACCTAAAATTTGTATCAATAGACCAAGATCCATACCAATGCAAATTATTCATATCTATACCGTATCCCCCTTTAAATGTAAACAAACATTTGTAAACAATATTTGGGAATTTGGACTGCTTCCTGCTTTTTATTGGATGAAGTAATTTTTTGGGGGTATTTATGGAGACCTTTCAGGGAGTCTTGTTCCATCAAACCACATTAGTCTGGAAGGAATTCACAGCTTTTCATCCTCTGTGGAAACAAAAGAAGAACCTCTTTTCCAAAGCAACATAGTCTTAACCTCAAATTTTGAAGTCAAAATACCTATAAAATATATGTATTGGTTTAGCTTAGCAGCCCCCAGAATCAAATCTCTCTGTGTAGTCACAAAATTCAAAGAAAACACAATTATATACATAATCCAGACTCTCTATGTATATTCCATTTTTAGGTTGCTTATTTTTCTTTATTTCTTTAATCTATGACTGTCTGTACTGTCTCTTTAAAGACTTTGTTTTATTTTTCTATACTCTTTTTCTTCTTTCTCTCAGGCTTACATACATTTTTAAAACACACTGTGACCCATTTAGAAGTTTATTTCTGTCTGAATTTGTCTTTATTGCATATCTTTAATTATTTTCTGTCCAGGAGTGCCTTTTTAAAAAATGTTAAGTGGGTGTGGCTAGGACCAGCTCCTCAGCATTGCCTGTTGTCTCTGCCCAGTCCAATATGGTGGAGGCATGTTTACTGCCTCTGAGAGCCATACACATTGCCCCAGCTCCAGGGTTGCAGCGGGTCTATGTCACCCTTAAGCAATTTGTACTGCGCTGCTCGGAGACTGCATTTAAGTGCTTGGCCTCCTGAAAGAGCCAGAGCTGTTAGTGTGACTAGTATGAACCAGAAACTGCCATTTCATAAAGAAATCGTGCATTCTTTTGCTGCTAATGCTGAATCAGGAAGACCTCTCTTAAAGGAGCCTTGGCACCCCTGCTCACTGCCTGCAAATGAGCCCATCCAGAAAAAAAAATGGGGCTACCAAGAAACTGTACCAAACATTTGTTTCTTTTTGTCTAGAATTACTTTTCAAGTTCTCTCAGGTTTTATTCGGACAAAGCCAGCCCACGTTGGAGCCAATCTGCTGGTGGAGGCTCCTTCTTCATTTCCTGGCCGCACAGACCTGAAATAATCACACAGAAACTATATTAAATACAATACTGTTTGACCAATAGCTTAAGCATATTTCTAGCTAGTTCTTACATCTTAAATTAACTCATTTCTATTATTCTGTGTATTACCACAAGGCTCGTGGTTTACCAGCAAGCTTCCAGTGTCTGCCTCCTTCAGCAGCTACATTGTGTCTTCCTGACTCTGCCTTCTCTCTCTCTCTCTCTCTCTCTCTCTCTCTCTCTCTCTCTCTCTCTCTCTCTCTCTCTCTCTCTGCATCTCTGCCTGGTTTTAGTCTGTTAAGTCATTGGCCGAAAGCAGCTTCTTTATTAGCCAATGGTAATAAAACATATTCACAGCATACAGAGGGGAATCCCACATCATATATGGAAGCAGAGGCAGAAAGACAGTAAATGCTAGAGCTCTAAGGAAACAGGGCTGACGTGCATATGAACTTTTGAAGACTGTAGCAGCATGCACATGGCCTGTGTGTGTTCAAGTAACATAGGGTCCCAGCACTAAGAGGGAGAAGATGATGCGGGGTTCCATCTAGAGCCAAGAGCTATTTGTAATTGATACCTAATAGCAGAAAGAAACCAATGAAGTGTCACTAGAATATCAACTACACTGCAGGGCAGGCTTCATGCCCAGTGTTACTAGGCCAATACAAAAACAAACATCGTGGTTTTTTGCATACACTTTTTTGGTCTTTTGAATGCTCTGATTTTCATTTTTGTGTTTTGTTTCTGTGTTTGTATTTAGTTGTTTTAAAAGAGAGAAATAACATAACATTGGGTGGGTGAGGAGTTGGGGTTTTGTGGGAGGGGTGGAGGGAGGGTGGGGAATATGATCAGTATATAGAGCATGAAAAGGATTAAAATGAAAACCTCAGATATTGAACTAAATTAGCAAAAAACTATCCCGAGCTGATGCAAGACTCTTCTGGACTGGGTAGGGCTTTAAGCTGACCTTTGTTTCATGCGCTACGTGAATGCGCTCTCGGAGGCCCTTCCCTTCTATTGTGTAGTTGGAGTTTTGATGGTGTTTAACAGTGGCCAAGGTATCTCCTTTGCTCTCTCGCGGTGGCTCCAGCAGTGACCAGGCATTTAGCCGACTCTTCTCCAGCTTCTGTAGCCTCAGATCACTCGTCCTCAGAGGGTCTCTTGGACGGGATATTAATTAAAGCCACACCAGTTCTCTCCCTGTTTCTCACATGAGACTCATGGAATCCTGTACACCTTTCTTCTTCAGTCACTGTAACTGGTGTTTTTCCTGATGTTTGTGCTCATTGGAGATAGGAAGAGGAAAGGTTTGTGATACCCTCATGGCTCTAGCTCTGTGTTACCCTGTGATCTTACTGTGGAGTTTGAGGCTGTTGTGGCCTTTTTTAGATCTGTCTCCTCTGGTTCCACCCTGACCTGGACAGGCTCCTGCCTCTCTAGCCTCGTCTACTGAGATTCTGAGCTCTTCCTGCTCTGCAGAAGCCTTCTAACTTCCCAGGCTCTTCTCCTCACACACTTGCAGTTCATCTCATCCTGTACTTCACTGTAGCAAAGCCAACGGATTCCAAAGCCTGCACTCTTGACGGCCTTCTACGGCCAGATGTTAACCCCTCAAATTAATGAACAAAGTGAGAATTCATCTATCTGATCTCTCCTGACAGGCTCCTTATTGTGAGCCCCAACTGTAAACAATATTGCTATTCAATATCAGAACCTGGGCTCATGCAGCCCATTGCTGCCCACTCAGTCCCACACACACTTAGGATTTGCCAGCAGTTTCTTTAGCCACCGGCTCCTGGCCAGTGTTTGTGAACTGTACTGTGTCTACCTCAGCCAGTGCTGTTCCCTGCTGGGCTGTCTTCACCAGCATTGTTGTCTTAGATCTCCTTTCCTTCTCAGCTCAGCCTCATACTCTACCATATATATATATATATATCATGAACTCCACACACACACACACATACATGAGAGGAGGCTGAATTTACTTTTATTTTTACTTTATGTGTATGCATGTCTGTGTGTACATATGTCACATACATGAAGGCACTTGCAGAGGCCACACGCTTCAGATCCCTCTCCCACCTGATGTAGGAGCTGGGAACCAAGCTGGGGCCCTCTGGAGGAGCAGCTCACACTCTGAGCAGCTGAGCCATCTCTCCAGCCCCATCAGCTCGGTTTTCCTGATGATCTGTTGCCAGCAGAGGGCAGCACACGTTGGGACAACAGCCACCAGCCCTGTCAAACAGCTAAGAAGTGGAACTAGACTACATGGGTACTGCTAGATGAGCGGACTTGGCGAATGTGATAACTACACACAACAGAATACCCTTCCGACTTTAGAAGGACATTCTGCCATCTTCAAATATGCCTGTTTTTTTGTAAAACAAATGCTGCAAGATCCCACTTTTGTAGTCAAATGTACTCAATATTCTCGTCTCAGAATCCTTAACTGAGACATAGTTAACAGGTCCATAAGTCCAGGCTTAGGATAGAACATCTTTCAGAAGTATTTATTAAGCAGACTACCACCCAGTTAAAAATTCATTGCCAATACTCACCATCTAGAATTCTAATGGCCTCTGTATTTGTTTTGCTCATAAAGTTTTATGTTTCCTGAATGCAGGAAACACACACACACAGACACACAGACATGTACATACACATACATACACAGACCCACACACGCATGCATGCACCCACACACGCACACACACACACATGCACACACACACACACACACACACACACACTCCACTAATCTTTTAGACATCTCACATAGTTCTGTAGCCCAGGTTATTCTCAGACTTGCTGTGTGTGTACCTGAGGATTGTCTGCCTCCCCCGTCTCCCTCGCCTCAATTGCTGGGATTACCCCCTGGCTTAGACATACATTTGTATCTCCCCCAAATTTTAACAAAATCTAGGGGTGTCTTCTAAGCATTCCTCCTGCTTCCACGAGACAGTTTTAAACTTCTTGTGTTTATTTTGGCATTGTTTACATTACAATAGTCAGTCCTTATACTAGAATGAACCCCCAAATATCAGATGGAGGGTGATGTTTGAAGTTTTGATTGCAGTATTAATATCTTATAGCTGTATGTAGCAAAGATCATATGCTATTTAGAATCTTTATTTTCGTTTGGTAGGTAGCTGATAAATTGCACAATGAATACGATTCAAAGGGAATATTGATTTTTCTGTGTTACTCGGTGTCCTGACCCTCATGTTTCCATCCTGCTCAGTATCTTCATCACAGGCCGCCGTCCTCTCCTTACGTCTACCTTTCTCCTGGGAATGAGGCACAGGAGAGTATTTTGTGGGATCTGTTCAATGGAACTTGGAGAATGAAGGGCTCCCCAGGGTTCCTCTTCATTCTTCTGGATGCTGCTTTCTTGGCTAAGCCATCAGTCCCTTTCCTGCGCCATTGCTAGTTCCCAGCTGTCCACCCCACCCCTGGGCATGTGTTAGTGTAGATGACACCAGAAGAATAGTTGAGACTCCTCGAGGAGAGTGCCTTTGACGGAAGGACCAGAAACCAGCCATGCGTCCAATGGTTGGGGATTGGACTGTAGGCACAGAGAGGGCCTGGGAAGAATCCAGGAGGGAGGAGGGAGGCTGACGGGAAGTTGGAGCTTCACTGGCTCCTCTGTTGCACATGGCAGGGATGACTTCTCCAATGAACTGGGAACTCATTTAGGAGAGCCCCCCCCTTTTTTTCTGTATGAAATCTGAAGAAAATGTAGTAAGGTTTTGTTGTTTTTCTTTCCACAGGACTCCCAGCTTCCTGTGGTAGGTGTTGTTAGGGACCAGTGCCATTGTAGGTAAAGGATACAGCCACGGAGGAATGGGTCATGGTCTCACGAATGGCAGTGGGGGTTCCTACAGAAGTACAAGCCTGTCCATCTTGAAGAAATGTATTGTCTGTGGGGCACATGGGAGCCCCTGGCTGGTTATTGTGGAGGTTCTGGGTTTAGTTAGGGAGAAGACGTCTCTTCTGAGATATCTGTGATGAGAGAAGAATTCAGCCACCACACGTCCAGGAAGAGGAGGGTGATTTCAGAGGTCCTACTTCTGCATTCCTTTTGACATGGGAGATGCGGCAGAGAGACACGCTTCGGTTGGCCAGGGGTGGAGGACAGGGCTCCAGGACAAGGGGAGGGGGTGGAGGGGGACTTTGTGTGGCTGCTGCTGGCAGGTCATTTTCCCGTGGCTGACGGGAATCTATAAGGAATAGAACACGCATATTTAAAATTTCCCGTCGTTTTGTTCCCAGGAGTTCCAGAGACCAGCATAGCTCTGCTATTTCCTGTACAAATGCCCTTCCCTGCAGTCTTTCTGGCACATCTATGATGTCCACAGCACTGGCAGCAGCTTCCAGGCAAGGAAATTCCTGGGACTCAGATAATCTCTTTTCTGTGCTCAGGAGAGCAGCCCCAGCTTGTGGCCCATGATGAACACGAACCAAGAGGTGTCCAGTGCAGGAGAGGGACCAGCAGGTTGGCAGTGGTGTAGCACTGTGTAGGTTAGGGAAGAAGGGTTTCAGCCTAGGAGACTGTGGGTCTGTGTTGTCCCATTAGCTGTGGGAAGTGGGTGGAAGTTCTCTTTTAATTGTGGATAACAATCCCAGACTGCAAGAGTTAAGGAACGAATTTGGTAGTGAGGCAGGTACTGAGTGAATAAATGTTCACTGAAACTCCAGAGGAGACACAGGCACAGATCAGAAATGGATGCCTCAGTGAGGGCGGGGGCGGTTCAGGTGTAACGGATCTAGGTGCACAGAGCTGCCTTCTGTCCTAGGCCTCTTTCTGAGGCTGGAGGTTCTGGGTCTGCTCTCAGAAGAGGCACTGCTCCAGCATCCATCTCCTCCTTTGGGCTGCTCTTCATTCCTTCTCTTCCCCTTTTATTCTGTCAACCCGTCATCCTCTGCTCAGCTCGCTCTCCTGTGAGTTCACAATTTATGAGGATGCTATACTCTCTCTTCTGTCCTCTACACACTGATTGGGAGGGGTAACTGTTATCTGATGACCCCAATCCTGGAATGTAGGAATATTAGTTAATATCACACCACACATACACACATTTACTGGGATTAACTATGGTAAAAGCTCTCTACAGTTCTCAAAGACAATCATTCTATAAGCTCCTTTCATTAGATTCACGTGTTCCTTTCCAGGAGTTCAGTTGCCTTTGTCAATATTAACCTTTATAATCCTCACCAAATCCTTTGAACAACCAAGATCCATCTTCGGTGATCCATATGTCATTCCGAAGCTCCTGGTCAGGTACACAACATATTCTCAATCAGCCCTGCCATTTTACTTATCTGCCTCTCTGGGTGTAATGTCATGAGAGGAAGGACCTAAATGGCCTGAAGAGGACCTTCCATGGCCTCAACACGGGGAACAGATTCCCTCTGGACAGCCTGCTTTCAGGCAGAGCTCTTTGGATCTGGAAACACGTGTCAAACCATCTCTACAGAAAACTATCCTCTCCTGCTACCTGTGACTAATGGCTTTTCTTCTCCTGCAGTAAGGATAGGTCAGGATGAGACAGGCATGTGTCAGGCATCCACATATTCACATCTGTCAAGTCAGGCTTTAACTGGGCACTGTTTGACAGTTAAAACCTGTGTGGAAGGTCACCATGACTGTGGATTACTGGAGCCTGGGCCATGTTATCTAACTTCCCATACCTTTATTTCTGTTCTTTGCCTTGTGTCGTGACCAACACTCTCTTGTTGTCTCTTATGAAATACCTGCCTCTTTACCTGCTATTTTGACCATTTACATTGTCAGGGTTTTCCGGTGATGCGATCATTGACAAGTTACTCATTCCCCAGTGCATAGCTCCACAGCCAGGCCCACATAGGCAGCCCTAGTTAAACCGCATGGGTCTCAAAGCAAAAGCAAAAGCAAAGCAAAACAATAAGACATTAAAGCGGGAGGGGAACTTGTTGGAAGGAAAAGAAGGGAGGAAGTTGGTGGGAATGAGAGAGAGAGAGAGAGAGACAGAGAGAGAGAGACAGAGAGAGAGAGACAGAGACAGAGGAGGAGGAAGATGGGAGAAGAGTTTAACCAAAATATATTATATGCATGCACGGAACTATTAAAGTCTAAATTAACTTTAAAAAAAGCAAAGAAATAAAAAAAAACCCAGATTGTCGCTTGATTCTGATATTGGTTGTATAGGCAGCCATATACCTGATGCATTGAAGGATTTAACAGCTGGCTGTCCCTTTTGTCCTTGTAGTCTGATTCTTTGTATCTAGTTATAAGAAGAAACACAGCTCAAGTGGGGCAAATGGGCATCTGAGAAATGGTGGACTCAGACCACAGGAACGCATGCGGGGAATATAGTACCGAAATTGTTTATGACCCATCCCCTCTGTGTGAAAGACCCTTTGTCTCAGTTAATTATCTTTTGCTGTGATCAAACACTGGCCACCTTGGGTCAGAAAGTTCATTTCAGCTCACAACTTCTAGCTCTCCCTTAGGGGAAGTCAAGGCAGGAACACAGGAAGGAATCTGGAGGCAGGAACTGAAGCAGGCACCAGAGAGAAAACTAGTTCCTGACGAACTTCCTCTGGCTTGCTCAGCTAGCTGTTTTTCTTATACTGCTCAGGCAAACCCACCCAGGGATGGCACTGCCCACAGTGGTCAGCATCTGCCACGATGTAAAAATTTTGAAAATGTCCTGCAGATATGATTATAGGTCAATCTTACGGAGGAAATTCCTAAACTGAGGTTGCCTTTTCCCAGATAACTCTAGTTTGTGTCAAGTTGAGAAAAATTAACCAGTACAATTGACCCTTGCCAGCTTGGCACACAAACACCGCTGTTGAAACATAACCTTTCCTTTCTTGTTTCACTCTCAGATCTCACATTAATATCACAATATAAAACTTTAAAGTCCCATAGCTTTTAAAAATGCCGAACCTCAGTTTTTCTCTGTGATTCCTTCAATCATGAAGTAGCTGACTTGACAGAATAGTAGAATAACATTTTTCAAGATAGAACCTGTGGTGGTTTGAATGAGAAGTGTCCTCCATAGACTCTCAGATTTGGATACTTGCTCTGCAGTTTGTGGTGCTGCTTCAGGGGGTCAGGAGCTGTGGTTTTGCTGGAGAAAGTACGTATGTATGCCACTAGGGGTGAACTTTGAGATTTCATAACCTTGCTGGGCTGAAGATAGCAAGGCATAGCCCCCCACCCACCCTTAGCCCCCTCCCCCATGCGGTTCCTGAGATGCAGGAAGCAGCTCCCCCCAGACAACCCAGTGGCAGCTAAATGAGTGATCAAGGAGAAAACACCTGCATGCCCCGAGGACCGCTTCTATGGTGTCTGCATACGCATTTGGCAATGTTACAAATGAGTCTGGTTATAGCAGTTCTATTAATGTACTTGTCCTCCATGTTCTTTTTCTCCTTCCACACCAGTGGTTTCTAAAAATATAAATGTGCTGTATGGTAATATGAGTCCTCTTGATCTGATAGAGCGGGCAGGCATTGAAGTTGTAAAGCAGGTTATGGGAAATGCAGAAATTGTTCTTTGCCTGATTATGAAACTTGGCAAAAGACTTATGCTGAAACAAAAAGGAACTTGGCTATGATGAATAGAGTTTCTGTGGAACCTAGGGCTGTTAGGGTTGACTGCCTATGGCCTTATAAATCAACATCCGAATTGTGAGGAACAACAATGGAAAAGGTACGACAATGGAGTAAAACCCACTGAACTACGCTTCTGTAAACCTCAGGTAGTTAGCCTCTGAGGTGAAAGCCTCAGAAGTTGGTTTATGATTAACTTGGCTAAGAATTAAGAATATAGTAGCTGGCATGAGGCTTGGGAACTGGGGAAGTGTCATAATGAATGACGATGTTCTGATTTCAAAGAATCTTTATACTTCTTATGAACTGCTTTGCTCAGGTAATGATTAACCTATGACAAGAGAAAAGAATAATTTTCCTTGTGTAAAATTTACAATAAAAGACTGAGGTTTGAAGCTCAGGAAAGAAGAACCTGCAGCTGTTAGCCTGTCAGCTCGCATCAGAATCCTATGATCGGGTACTCACTTCACCTTCCAGACATCCCAGACTCGAGCTCCACTTCTCTGCTGAGACTGGTCTCTGGCATCGTCCTACCTCCTCTTTGTTCGGGTTCGTGTTTGTCCTTAGAGATATGGTCTCAGCTTCCTGCTGCCGTGCCTCCTTGCCTTGATGGACAGCTATCCCTCGGAACCATAAGACAAGGCAAACTCTTCCTTCCCTATGTTACCTTTGTTATGGTCTTTTATTACAGCAGCAGAAAGTAGCTAATATACAGCTAAGAAGGCAGTTGGGTGGCGATAGGCTGGTGGCTGGATAGGATTATTTGTTTATTGATTGATTTATTTACTATGCATAGTGTTTGGCCTGCACGTACACCTACAGGCCAGAAGAGGGCAATAGATCTCATTACAGATGGCTGTGAACCATGTAGTTGCTGGGAATATACTCAGGAACTCTAGAAGAGCAGCCAACACTCTACCTCTGAGCCATCTCTCCAGCCCCGGGAGAGAGTTTTTGACAAGGCAGTATATGTTTGAACGAGTTTCCAACATATGGTACAATCTCTCTCAAAGCTAAGATTCCCTGGTGCAGGATTCAAGGGGTGGAAATAGGAATGGCTCCATTCATTATTATCCCTACTGATCCACCAGGGTCGCCTGCTGCTTTTTACTGTGACCTTGTGATCTATGGACTTGGAAGTTTTGGTTCCAGAAGAGGGATCACTTCTACCAGGAGATGCAACAAGCACAACACTTTACAGAAAGTGAGGACTTCCTCTTGGTGTTCTGGGCTTCTGATGCCCCTGAGTCAGTTGGCTAAGAAGGAGGGAACGCTGTTAAGATATGTGATTGATCCAGATTACCAGGGGGAAAATTTGGCTACTTTCCCAAAATGGAGATAAGGAAGATTATTTCCAGAGCGCAGAAGACTTTTAGGGAGTCTCTTGGAGTTGCCGTGTCCTGTGATTAAGGTCAGTGGGAACTTGCAACAACCCAACCCAGGCAGGAAGATAAAGGACCCAGACCTTTCAGAAATAAAGGCGTGCATCACCCCTTCAGATAAAGCATGAAGGCCTGCTGTAGTCCTTGCTCAGGGCAGAGGAAATACAGAATGGGTAGTGGAGGTAGGTTGCTATAAAAAAAAAAAGCAAAAACAAAACAAACAATCAAAACCCACCAAGTGACCAGTTCTAGAAATGAGGATTGTAACTGAGAGGAAGGTTCCTGCCCTATTTGTTCAGAATATGCTCATGCATATGTTAAGAAGACCTCTGTGATTTCTTTTATTTCTTTATCATGTAATGCAGCATCTTTGATGATAATATTAGTGGTCAAATGTTGTCTGTATTATCCTATTTAAGTTATGGAGATTAAAAGCCTAAATATTATTCAAGGACTTTGCTACCCCGGTTCCAGATGCTGGTATTTGGAGCTGTGTTGAAATAGGAGTGGCGGGGCTGCGTCCCCAGCACCCCAGCCGCCTGCTAGCTTATGCCCGAAATAACAACACACAAACTGTATTCATTTAAACATTGCTTGGACCATGAACTCTAGCCCTTACAGGCTAATTCTCGCACCTGGACTAGCCCATTTCTAATGATGTGTGTAAGCACCCCAAGGTGCGCTTACCGGGAAGATTCTAGCCTACATCCATCCTGGGTCGGAGCTGCCTGGGAGAGTGGAGCCTGGCGTCTCTGCTCCAGAGAGCAGAGCTGTCAAGTCTACCCGGGAGAGCTGAGCATGGTGTCTCTGCTCCAGAGAGCAGAGCTGTCGGGTCTCTCCGGGAGCAGAGCAGAGTCTGACCTCACTTCCTCTTCCTCCCAGAATTCTATTCTGTTTACTCCTCCCACCTATGCTTTAACCTATCAGGGCCAGCCAAGCAGTTTCTTTATTGCTCAATGACCTTCCTCCATCAGAGCTGCAAGGTTTGGATTTTCTCTCCTGACTTTGGTTTTGCTTTGGTACAGTTGCTTACTTTCTATAGGCTTGTTTAGTCTCTTTTGGAATAAGAATGTCTTTTTGATATCATCATATGTTGGAATTATGTCCCTTGTTTTCGGTATTTATAGGGGCTTACCTGAGTAGCAACCTGTAAGTGAAGAATTGTCCTTGCTTGCCTTAACTGATGCAGATGGCTCACCCTGACTGGGGCACCAGAAGGAAAATTAGTTGCCTTTGGCTCCCTCTTGTGGTTTGGCCTTTTGCTGTTACCAACTCCTGCTATCAGAACCAGGAATTCTGGGCTTCTAATACTGACTTCTAAAACCTTCCTGGTTTTCAGCTCCAGGTTAAGACTGCTGAGACACCCAGCCTCAAAGATCTAGGAACTGCCAGGTTGTTGGCCTTTCTACTGCCAGGTTGTTGGCCTTTCTATGCGAGACAGCCACCATGTCTCTACTCCTAATGTGAGGCACCAGCCGCAAGGACCTGGCAATGCTAGGTGCTCAGTCCTTCAGGAGTGAGACAATATTTGGCACTATTCTAATTTACATTGGTTTAATAAATTCTCTAATACATTTAGATATATTCATCTTATCAGTTCTGTTGCTCCAGAGAGCACCAATACAGCCTTCCCTTCCTTAACTGGCCAGCACTCTGCATCTGCCTGAAACAGGGACCAGCTGGGAAGCACGAAGAGGCGCGTACAAATGGTCATGAGTGTGTGGGTGTAGCAGTGTGCATGTGTGCACGTGTGAGCCTGGAGAGACTTGAAGTTGACACAAAGACAACTTCCTCGGCAGATGGTCCACCTTGACTTTTGAAGTGGGTTCTCTTTAAACCAGGAGCTCAGAAATGGGCTACACTGGCTGACCAGCAAGCCCCAGAGGTCTTCCTGCCTCTGTCCATCCCTCCCTCTAGCATGGCATTACAGGTGCCCATCAATGTGTCTGTTTTTTAATATGGACGTCATGAATCTGAACTCAGATCCCAAACCATCTCCCCGTCTCCAAAATGAACAAAAATAAAGGAAAAAAAGAGGAAAATGTGAAGAGCAAGAATTTGTGTCTAGATGTGGACGGTCAAATAAAAAGCTTCAAGTGCAGACACCGTGTCTGGCCTTCTTCTGTGTACTGTGATATACACACAAAATTAATATTCTGTGTCAGGTACCTGCTCTCAGAGCTGTCATCAAACGGACCCATGTTCCACATACCTCTAGATTTGAAACCCGCCAGGAGAAAACTGTACAGTGCAGTTATCATGAGAAGCAGGTGTTCTGTGTTGAGTGTGAACTAACGCTATGCAATGAAATCACCTCTCAATTCCCCAACCCTCACCATCAGCATCACCTTGCAGACTCTCTTTTAGCACCTCGAAGGCCTGTCCTTCTCCCTGTCAGCTTCCACATACTCAGCACCCCATTTCACTCCTGGCTATCATGCAGGTTCTTCTGATTATATATTGTCAAGGTAGCACTTGCAGCTACCTCACCAAGCCTGCAGAGGGCATCAGTCTCTCTCTCTCTCTCTCTCTCTCTCTCTCTCTCTCTCTCTCTCTCTCTCTCTCTCTGTAACTTGGGAAGGGAATGGCTGAATATAGGTGATATGAAGTGGCAAATGAAGTAACAAGAAAGGGTCTTCAATGGGGGAAGAGGAAGGGAGAAGGAGGGAAGGGGGAAATAATGCTAAGGTTCTTGTTTGTTAAAGTCTCAAAGAATCACATTATTTTTTATCTACTTAAACTTATTCACAATGCATATAAGACTACACACACACACACACACACACACACACACACACACCTTAAAAGAAGTTAAGCCACCCTGACTGACAGTGCTGCCCATAGGAACTGTATATTAACAAAACCCCAGTACCAGGCATGAGAAACTTTTGCAATGATTGGTCGGGGTAGTCCAAGTGACTCCTAAAACAATATGGATTACCAATTCATCCCTTGGTTGCCCCTTAGGGGTTGAGGGGGCATCTATTGCTAAAGACAACAACGGTTAAGATGATTTGGAGTTGGAGCTGACCTGACAGCCTCTTTCCTGCACTCTGGCTTCTACGGTCTCAGAAACACCAAGTCAGCTGCCAAGGGAGGAAAGCAATTCCAGTCTTACCCAGCTGCACCACCTGCAAACTATGACAGCTCCCACCATGGCAAGATACACATAAAGGTGCCCTAAGTGTTACATGTCAGTGGTAACCAATTGCCATCTGGCCAGACTTAAGGACCCAGAAAGAGGGAAATCGAGCTTTGTACTGGAAACTTAACCAGCTTCCAGGGGATTCTGAGATCATGGACGTTAGAAAAATACTTACAACCACACTTGGCAAGCCCAGCACAATTCCTTAGTATTGCATTCTAAATATTTCCTTAAATCCACAGGTAATCTAGCTACCACCCCTTGTAAAGAGAACCCCCTTTTAGCAAATGGAGACCATCGGAGAAACCCACAACTGGACACAATGCACAAATCAATGCATATTGTGGGGAGCCCAGCCCCATATGATACATCTACATCACAACTCGGGGGGCACCACAGAGGAGGGAGTGGGAAGTAAAAACCAGAATGCCAGGAAGCCTGTGATGAAGCAGTCTCTTCTAGAACTGGCTGCATAAACAAAACCATCACAGCAACGATATCAATGGATATGGTAGCATGAAAGAGGGGAAATTCATGGGACTCCACCCCTGGAAAGAGAACTACAGGTAAGCAATGACTGTTGGGAGAATTAGCCTCTCCCCATACTGGTAGTCCAGTCCAGAGTGGTCAACCTTGGGACCATATACATGCCGTCAGCAGGTTTATACTGGAGAGTGGGAGGGCATGTGAGGGGTTTGAAGGAGGGTAGTTAGGAAAGGGGGGGAAGTGATGCAATTCTGTTTCAATTAGAAACATATTAAATCAATGGAGAATCGAGAACAATGAACTCATGTTAAGGCCTGTTGCTGAAGACAACACCTACATAACTCATTGAACACAGAGAAGTCAAACAGATGCCCACCTAGAGTCTTCACCCCTACTGACTAGTGTTCCTGGTACTAGTGGGTACAGCATGCAGAGAGTCAGAGACCTTGGGATGCTCAGTCCTAAATGGGATGTCTCCATCAAATCCCTCTCCTCAGGGCTCAGAGGCCTATGCAAAAGAGGAGGTGGAAAGATTGTAGGAGCCAGTGGAGGTGGGGACGACAGGGAAACAAGACTTTCTAGGTACAATAGGACACACACACACACACACACACACACACACACACACACACACACACGAGTACACAGAGACTGTGGTGACATACACAGGCCCCAGCCCTAGGAAGGAAGCTGGATAACACCGCCATCCCTCACACAGAAGCAATCACCAACTGATGACTGCCTGCTGAGAGAGAGAGAGAGAGAGAGAGAGAGAGAGAGAGAGAAGAAGAAGAAGAAGAAGAAGAAGAAGAAGAAAGAATGGTTTTCTCCAAGGTAGTCTCCTGGATATACAAACCACACTTAAGTGCAGACCCCATAACCAGCAGGAGATGATCAACACAAAATGAACTCAGCGGCATTTTTGGAGGACTTTTGTCTCATAATGCTTTGTCTGGGTGTTTTTCTTACCTTACTGGTCTTGGACGTACATATTATGGCTTCTGATTTTGTGGTTTTAGGGGATCTCTGTGCAAGTGGACACGTGTCACTCTGCATTTACATGTGTTTCGTGCATTTTACCTTTTTTCCCCCTGTGTGTGCTGTCCTCTTCTTTTTCTTCCTTCCTTTTCTTTTTCCCTGTTTTCTAATGAGAGAGAAAGAAAAAAAGGTGTGGATTTTGGTGAGTGGGGAGGTAGGTAGGTAGGATCTGGGAAAGAAGTCGGAGGTAAACACTCTGCCATGGCAACACGGTGGAGAAACTTACTCTTGAACTCCACATGGAGAAGCCCCTTCCTTCCATCCACTTCCTCATCTATAAGTTAAGACCATGTTCTGTGGCGGCCATGACTTACAGGCCACTGTGTCCCCAGAGTTCAGTTCTAGCCAACAGCCTACCTAGGGCTGTATCAATGTGGCCCATGTGTGTCCACGGACAGCTGGTTCTGGTTATGGATTCTTCTTCTATATAAGATCACGCATACATTGCAGTGAGCCAGAGAACAAGTCAACTGTGTACCAGCAGACAATGGTGCCTGCAATTGTATATCTGGGGAACAGAGTTTGAAGGGAGGAAGTGTGAGACAACCCATCTTAGTGCTGTCCCCTGTGGAGATGTGATCTTGTGTCCCAGAGAGCTGAAATGGGCTGTGTGGGCAGAAGTGGCTTCTTCCCATCTTCGCAGCGCCTCCTGCTTGCAGACCTTCTGTCTCAAACGATTCAGTTGAGAGCCAACCAGTGTTTCAAAGTCTTTGGGTGGAGGAAATTATAACTGCACGATTTTATGTGGTCACACACACACACACACAAATGCTGTCCTTTGATCTATTTTAATTATGTGGAAATTTTGCCTCCTCACCTAGAGGTACTGACAAGTTTCCTCATTTACTCTAAAACCTGAGCTGTTTTGTGGGAGGTTAATGAGTGCATTTTGAGCTGAAAGTCAGGCTCAGACATCAGGAGTTTGAGCGAGCATCCCTACCCTCCAGTATTTTGCTATCCAGGTTTGAGCATGGGCTCCAGGTGGGGCAGTGATGCAGAGAGAAGCTAGACAAGGCTCCAGCCCAGATTCTGAGAGCTGAGATGCTGTGATCTACGCCTTTGGTCTCTTTGTTTCCAGTTGCTATCCTGTGTGTCAGAGCACAGTGCCCAGGCAGGGTGAGGGGCTCTTGTGTGCTTGGAGACCCACAGAAAGGTTACAGCATGCTCTGGGAAGGACACTGAAATATAGCCACCTCGTACCACTTCTCCAGAGAAGTGGGAGGGGGCAAAGAGAGGGCTGGTAAAGGCAGGTACTCTTTGTTCCGCTGTCTGAGGACAAAAAGGACTTTCTGGTGAGTGTCTAGATCTCTCATATGTACATATGATAAAATTACCATCAAATAGCACATCAGTTCTGGTCTTTAGATTAAGTGAAGATCATTTAAACTCACTGAACAAGTACCTAAGACGAGACACCGTGCCTAGCATAGTGTAGAAGGTAGTTACTGATGTCTAGGTAGAACGGAAATAGAAATATGTTGATCATTTTGGGTGATGGCTGGGGATGCATGGGTCATGGAAAGAACCATACTCTGCAGGGATGTGGCAGAGGCGATTCTGTACTGTTTTAGGATTTTCTATATCTAGACCTTGCTGTGGCTTGGTCTGGAACCATAAGTTCATTCAGGCTTTTGTTCTCCTTCAGGGATGAATACTTTGCCTTCTCCTTTCCATCAAAGCTCCCTTGGGCAGTGGTCCAGAAGGAAACTTACCCAATCTTTCCTAATTGAGTAACGCTAAACTTGTTATGTGTGCTCCTTACAACTCAGAGGGCTGTGATCGTGCCATACCACCAGTCGCCAGCTGGTGGTGCTAGAGGCACCTCTGCCGTCGGAATAGCGGATGGGTGGGGCTGCTTAACCACCTTAAACCCATTTAAACTCTGCAACTCGACACCACGACTGACAGCCTATGCTCTGTCTGCAAGTGTCTAATGTGATCAGACTTTTCTAGTTTGAAATGTTAATGGAAGAAACATCAATAGATATAACCCACAACAATAAAATCTCCTCGAGGTCCTCAGTAATTTTAGTAGTGTAAAGCATTTCTGAGACTAAACAGTCAGAGAGCTGCAGTAGTGATCACTCTCCTGCCAGAGTGGGCTTCATGCCTACAGTTCTGGTCCCAGAATTGCATGCCACGGTCTTGCACGGACTTGCAGGGCTTGTTTTATGTTCATCCCAGCCTGCAGCCCCAACTCCCCAGCTCTATTGTGTGGCCAGGGGCTTCTCAAAGAGGTGGATCTGGGAGCCAGCACCCCAGGCACTGAGGACGGGTGGGCAGAGGGGAGAAGGAGGCGCTCTGGTTTGAGCAGGGTCTTCAGCTCACTCTCACTTTGCCCCTAA